CACACACACACACAAACATGCATGCAGATACACAGCTAGCTTTGATGTATGTTTGATTGTCAGGTTGAGGAATACTTCTGGCAAGGTCACCCAGAACAATCAATAACAGATCGCCAGATTACACTTCATGACCAGAGCAAAGTGGGGCTCAATGTCCTAAACATGGACTCCATGACCAGGCTACCGACTAAGCCACTAAACCACTCCAGCCACAGTTTCTACGAATTACATTTTGTATTTTAAATTTATAATTTGGTCAAAAAATGACATTTGGACAGTGAAATGTGGAAGAAAACATCAACAAAAGTTCTAAAACACAAGGTTTATGATGAGGTGGATCAATTACTTAAGTTACACTTGCCTACAAAATTAGCAAGACTTAAGTTGTATCATATTCTGGTGAGTGTTTAATAATTCAAAGTTAAATGAAACTCCGCAATATTCGGAGGAACTTGCAATTTTTCGATATTAATGCAGATTTTGCGATTTGGCGCAAGATGTTTCATGTGACATCATTACATCGCTCATTCAGCCAAATCCCTCTTCGATTCCCGTGCGTCGAACATGAGCACAGCTATAAGGTCTCATTTACCAACGATTTCGTCAATTCACAGAAGAACAAAAACCTCTGCAATATCAATATTTTTTTCCACAACAATCATAGAAAAAATTCTCTATATACTGAATACCTACATCTTTAAAATATCTTTAAATGTTCAGACAGGGTCTGCGACACAAACTGCTCTGGACATTTCCATTAAACGCTGTTCTGTCAGTGCGTCAGAAGAGGAAAATGGTTTGCCTTAATTAAGACCCAAATAACATAGTAACACACACACACACACACAAACATGTGTTCTATGTGTTGCACTCATATGTTAATGCCTTGTGACTACGCACGACTTCACATGCTCACATGCTGTCGTCCCCGTCACCCTGCCGCATCACACCACTGTCAAGTGCAAACGTCAAACAAACATGTCCTCAGGTAGTGCCAGCCTAATCACACCGACAGCCTGTCCTTAGCCTTTCCCAGACACACATACTCACACCAGTGTACACACAATGGATTTAGAGGTGCTGCAATTCCGCGGAGAGACCTGTACGTATTGTGTGTGTGTGTGTGTGTGTGTGTGTATGTGTATAGGTGTGTGTCTGTTCTCCTTCAGTCCTTCAGACTGCCCTCCATCTCTCACTCTTTCAGGGAGGAGGCGGTGTGTTTTATCAGTCTGACGTCTTGTTCCAGCATTCCTCAGATAAACCCAGGAGCACTTTGTTATTCTTACCTACTTAGCTATTGCAATTAGCCTCTTTTTTTCCAACTTTCCAGTTTCTGTGCCTGCTGTAGCCTCAGATTTCAGTTCTTGGCTTTCTTGGCAGGAGTGGAACCTGATTTGATCTTTTGCTATTGCAGCCCATCTGCCTGAAGGTTTGACGTGTTGTGCGATACTTTTCCTGCTCACCACGGATGTAAAGAGTGGTTATCTTTTGATCTTGCTCACCGAGAAGGCATTTCCGCCCACAGAACTTTAGGTTTTTCTGTGTAAACTCAACAGAAAATCCCTTGAGATTAGCCGTTTCTGAAATGCTCAAAGCATCCCGTGTGAAACCAACAACCATCAGAAAGAACTTTTTAACCCCCTCATACACGATTGGCTGAGCAGGCGTGCGGGTGTTCCTGTTAAACTGGCCGGTGAGAGCCAGAACTTATATTTAATTTATGGATGTGTACAAGCACATTTGCGTGATCTTCCTTTATTTCCTTTTCGCTCATTAAAAAAAAAAAAATTCTCTTTAATGCAAAATTTACTTCTTGGTTTTTATGCATTTTATTTCTCTTCTCTTTTGCTGTCCTCACTTTCTGTATTTCCCTCTCTCTTAGAAGCTTTAACAGTCAAAAAATAAATAAATAAATTCACAATGGCGTCAGTATTCGCTGTCATGATGATTCAAACACGTTTACTGTCATCACCGTGACCATTCCTGTCATATCTCTTAAATCTTGCTAGGATCTGCACTTGACTTAGAACCTTGAGGTTCCAGTTTTGTTTTTTTGTTTTTTTTTTGCGGGGGGTTGGTGTGGGGGGGGTATACGCTTTAAAAAGCATCCCACAGAAGCGAGACAGATGCCTCTCCCTCTCACTTTGCTCCTTGTGGCAGGTGTGAGTCTTGTGTTCGCTCTGAAAACGAGACCCCCCCCCACCCCTCTCTGTCTGTCTCGGCTGCCGCTGATTGTTTCTTTTACCTTTGTAATTTCTTGCCACAACATCTAGCGATCGGCGGTAAACTGGCAATCACTGAATCTTAAATGTTATTACTGTTCATAATTAGTGATGCCTCTCTGCCGCCTTCGCCTCTCTCTCTCTCTCTCTCTCTCTCCTTCTCTCTCACACACACACACTTTTGCACTCTCTCTTTCTCTTTCTCTCTCTGTGAGCGGTGGATGAAAAAAAAGAAAGAGTATGTCGGAGTAATTAAAGTAATGAAATATTCATTTCTACCTTTTCCAGCAGTGGCACAAATGAGGCAGGCGGCGTTAATGTGTGCCACGCTCTGCGTTTTTATTGTAATGGCAGCCGGGCTCGTCTGCAATTAGCCCAGACGCGCTGACAGAGTCGCTATAGCGAGACACGCAGCGAGAGGGGACCCCGACCATCACACATCACAACCTCCCTGTCTCTTTAACCTTCGGCATGCTTCTAGGAGTGTGTATGTGTGTGTGGGTGTATGTGTGTGTGTGCGCGCCTCCGACGAGGTTACCTTTTCCCGGTGGTGCAAAATCGACTTGACATAACTGTTCATCAGTCTGGGGACTCTCCCCCGAGGTATTTGCATCAAATCAACGCAGTCAAGCTTCAAGCCAGAATTGGCAGGCCAAAACCTGACAGGAGAGAAAGACAGAGAGAGAGAGAGAGAGAGAGAGAGAGAGGACAGATAGTGTGTGTGGAGGCGTGTAACAGAGTGTGTGTGTGTGTGAGAGAGACCGTGTGAGATTCTGGAGAGAGCCGGGTCACAGGGCTAATAGGCGTAACGTTAGGACAGTTCTTTCATCTTTCTCTCACTCAAAATAGCCTTTCATTCCCTCTTGTAGTTATTAAGGCACAGTTGAACCTTTGTGTGTGTGTGTGTGTGTGTGTGTGTGTGTGTGTGTGTGTGTGTGTGTGTGAGCGAGCTCTTTCACCTAAACAGACAGTGTCTGTATAGGTGAAAGTTAGTCAGTAGGCTAATAAAACTTGTTTATATGTGTGTGTGTGAGTGTGTGTGTGTGTATACGAGTGTGTGATGCTGCTGCAGGATAATTGGTTTTGTTTATGTCTAGAGTGTATAGGCGTAAAAGAGTTACTGAAGTGTCTTATTGTGTCCGAGGAAAGTGTAAAACGTGCAGATTTGCTTTAGCATGCGCATTTGTTTGTCTTATGTGCAACAATGTAATAATTGTTTTTTCCATCCATAGTCCCATCAGAACCATGTTTCTTGCAGCATGTAACATGAGATGGAAACGCTGAGGCGTCATTATGGGCACGAATCATAAAATCATGCAGATACAGGTCAAGCGCTTCAGTTCATGTTCACATCAGACATCAAAATGGGGAGACAAGCGACTTTGTGACTCAGTGACTTGGTAGATAGTAATAAGCACTCTTTACGGCCGTGGTGAGTAGTAAAAGCATCTCCTACTACAGTGAATATGTGGAATGAAGATGAAGCTGAGGCTACACTGGGGACAGATTCACCAGTATACGATAGGAAAAATGTCTCCTGGTGTTGTAGCTTGTATCCAGTGATTCTGGTTGTTCAAGATAGATTCCAAAGTTTGGATTCATGTATTTTTTCCACATTTTAACTGAAGATCTGGATTTTTTTGTTGTGTTTTTTTTTGTTAAGGCTGGTATTTGACGAAACAGATTTTAGACATAGATAGACATGAGGCTTGTAGCTCCTACAGATTACACAGGACTCCAAACACATCCTGGCTGATTGATTACATTTGGTGTAAAGCGGATATTGGGTAGAATTAAAAAAAAAGATATTGTTAAATCATGCTAGGTTGACTGAACGTGGATACAAATTCAGAGATGATTTTCTGTTCAATATTCCACTGTAGCATAGCTTACCGTCCTAAAGTGATGAAACTTTCAGAGCTGCTCCAATTCTGTCTTCACAGCACTCGTGAGCATTCAGCGAGTTCATTGTAAAGCATTTGGAAATCCTTTAAGAGCAGAGTGGAGGAAAACGAAGCTGCTTATCTGGGGGTTTTCATTAACCAGCAGTCTCTCTTCTTTGCTCTTTCTCTCACAAACATTGGAGAAGTCCGTTCAAATATTCCAAAGACCTTCCGTCCTTATTTTGTATCCTCCAATTCACATACTATCCTTTCATTTCTCCCCATTTCTGTCCACGTTCGACAGTGAGTTAAAGGTCCGGGCTGCTGGGAGAGTTTCGTTATAGCTGAACAAAGCTTCATTTTGGCTTCAATGTCGTCGTCAGGATTTAATTGTTGTTTCTCTCTTGCTGTTGTGAAAACATGATCAGAAACACAGACAGAAAGTGAGGAATATACATATACACACTTTAAAGCTTTAAAGTTTTCTGAGTCTTCTGGATGGAGGAGTTTCTGCTTTGTGTTTTCTCAGTAACATGACAAGCTGCCTTTTTTTGTCTTATTATCTTCAAGAGAGAAAGAAACAGTGATGGAACAACACTTTAGAGCTTCTATAAAGTAAGTGATAACAGGAACTAACTTTAAACATAACTACAAAAGGATAGAAAGTATCATGTGTTGTTCTTTAATTAATCGTTGGCGAATTGCTTTGGTATAAAAGCAGGATGTGCTTTGTGTAGCTGATCATTTTCCTATAACCGGCATTCTGTTTATGCTCATGACAAGCATAATAGATATACACTGTAAAAACAGTCCAAAGTTACTGAAAGTAAATCATCATCCAGTGTAAATGATGTAGAAAGCTGGTTATAACAGTGTTATAACAGTGTCCATAGGGGGCGTGGTGGCTTAGTTGATAGCACGTTTACCTCCCAACTCAGGGTTGGGGGTTCGAATCCCGCCTCCGCTC